ATGTTGGGACTTACGTCACTGAATGCGAAAGTAGAACAGTCTAAACTTCAATTCTTTGGTTCTTTGTGTCGTCTACGATCTTCAGCTGCTGTAAATCAGCTATTTTTATTACGGTTGTACCAGAAATACCTGTGTGTTTATAAAAGTACCTAAGGTGTCATTTACGACATCTGGTTCATTACTTTAAAATACGGTCTGGAAGAGTACTTGAACTCTTTCTTGGAGGAAGCTTTTTCCCCTTTCAAACAGTCCTGGATTTTTTTAGTTAAAAATGCTATTTATTCAAAAGAACAATCAGAATGGTTTGAGCGCCTTAACAATTGTGACGGTTTTTGCCGATTCCTATATTTGCATGGAACACTTTGTCCGTCGTCTCTTTGGTTTCTGTGGAAACAGTTATTTCCTTTTCAATCTCATATTTGCAATAGAGTAGTGAATTTGTGGTTAATAAGCCCATACTGTGAGCTGTTATGTGCTAAATGTAAACCAATGTCTCAGGATGCTCTAGCTCATTGCTTACTTGATTGAAGACATCCAGATTTGGTTACCTTCCGTGACGAATTTTTCACCAAAGTTGTAAATAATTATCCGGTTGAGTTATAAGTCAGACTGGATACTTTAGATAGATAGGAAATTCTTTGTATCCTATCAGGGCACATCCTTGATGACATAAGGGAACTATTCCCGGATGATGAGTACTGCACTAGGTTTGCATACGAGTGCTGTTGCTTTTCTGTCAAAGCTGCTGAATTCACTTTCCAGTAAATATGTATAGAAATGTATTTACATGACTTTGAACAAATCAAATTGAATTTGTTTCAATCATGTATTTATTTTTTTCCTCTTGTTATTTTTCCTGTTTCATGTATTTTTCCTCATTGACGTCTTGACTTAGTACGATCAATATATGTCATTTATGTAACCTTTGCTATGCCTGTACTTTATTGATATCTACTAATTTTCTAATTCTTTGTTTAAATATTATTACATTTTTGTATGTGGAGGATTGAAGTCAAAGAAGAAGAAGAAGAAGAAGAAGAGGAAGAAGAAGAAAAAGAAGAAGAAGAAGACAAGTATGATAGAGATCAGCGTGGTATTATGAGACTGGAAAAGTGGGTAGTCGTTGGTTTTCCGATGGATATTGTGAGGACGTTGATTTTGATTTTGAAGGTTTTACGTCCGCTATTACGTCAGACGAGTAAGGATATTGAAAGGTTTACTGTTGATTCCTGCACGTTTGCGTTCTAACGACTCTTTTCATTGGCTAATAACCATTGGATTATTGGACGATAGACCATGCGCGTGGTGTATTATTTTCCAACAGACCAACGCTCTGCATCCCCCCTCTCCACCCCCCAAACAGTTAACAAGCGAGACTAACGCTCTTCTGAACTTACCGCGAAGGTGACTTGAAATACAGTTTGTAAAAACGAGCGATGTCGATAGATTGTCGATTTGATGGATTGAAATAAACATCTGGCATAAAGCATGATTGCTCATCGCCTTTCCACCAAATGGCGAATCCTTCCCAAATGTATTCAGATTATATGCACAAACAAATTACAACTTCCCACAGGGTCATAAATGATAAAAAAATGCACAGCTTGTTGGGAAGTGAAGACATACAGGCATCACGTGACAGATGTTGGCTCGAGCAACAGAAAAGCCTTATTTAAATAAAAAGATTATCTACGCCACTTTGCTTTTCTTAGCTTTTCATAGGCGTATGGACACTGAGGTAGACACGAAAAAGAATTTCATTTCATTTTACTTGGTAGAATAGATATAACAACAAATGTGTGTATATTATGTTAAATTCTCTTGGGTTGTAAAAGCTCGAGATAGCATGGTAAAAGCCAAACGCTGCACTTCTAGACCCATTCCTATCACAGGACGATCAGACAGACAATTCAACTGCTATAAAAAGAGAAGACACTCATAAAAAATTACATGACAGGTATGTACCGTGTGAGCGACCTTTATTCTCGTCCCTTTGGGAAAAAATACGATAATTTCTTCCATATTTCACTTTTTAGAAAAAAATATTATCCTTTCGCCGCTTCTTATATTTTGATAGGAGCAATAGGAGAGTATTAATACAGTTGACAGTGCCTGGTGTGATATGGTCGACAGAGTTGTAGATCTTGGTACGGATCCATGCTATTGACACAAAGGGCCATAACTCTTACGAATCTGTAAATATGTCTCTTTCACCTTGATATTTCGTTTGCTCTAATTGTAGTCACAGAATGTAAGGCGGAATAAATGATTATCTAAGTTGGCATCTCAAGCTTTTGGAAGCACCAGTACATCAGTACAAACTACCTCCACATTTCAACATGGACTACATGTGCTATACAATGTGTGAGATGTGCCTTCTAAGGGAAGCATAAATTCGGTAAACATTGGACATTTTGACTTAAGTCTTAGTCTGATTCACGATTTTCGGCTCTTTGTATAATAAAACATGTGTACATAGGAAACATTTCTAATCCGAACAGAAAAATGACGGTCTTAGTGGTGTTCGGTATATACAGGTTTGTTGTTTCTATCAACTCTCGGTTTTCCATTACTTTTTAATATATGTGCGTTGTATGCCTTCCGTAGTCATTTGACTGAATAGCTCGACGTTTGAGAGGCAAGTAAAGCTTTGGGCTCGAATTAAATATGTAACAATTGTTTTAAATACAGAAACCCGAGAACAACTTATAGCATTCAGCACTCAATAAAAATGAGACCCCTTTCCCGACCCCACCCCTCCCACACACATACTGTACCCTCCGCATTGACAGGAGCAATTTGTACTGAGTGTTCATTTAAACCTATAAAACGTCGAACATTTATCCCTACATCAGGACATGTTGAAACATTCACCACGTAATCTATTATCTGGTACGTTTGGTTATCATGTTTTATTTCGTACCTGTGAGTAACTCCGTTATAATCACGTTATCTACTAACAAATTGGTTTAACTCTATCAATATTCATCGGCTTATCTGTAGAACAAAAAGCACCAAAATCACAATGTAAGAACGCTCAAAGGTCTTACTAAGGGAATTAGAAAACCCAGCCTCGGTCGGCTATATGAACCCAGAAACTCTGGTAAGCACGGTTTCGTCTACCGTACTGTCTCGGAGTAACACCATGTAAAGTACAATGTATCGATAGTGCACGCCACGTTAATTGGATGTTGTATAACGTGAAAGAAATTGTAGAAAGTAGGATAGATATCTGACCACATGTGGACGATTTATCCAGTTATATTATTTTTATAATGCATCATTTATATGCACATGTATACATTAAGTTTGAACGTAACTACATGTAGTAACACAGCAATGACACAAGACGATGATAACACATTTAAAATTGATTTGGTCTTTTCAGACGAATTATAAAACCATCAGCGATACATATCTATAACAAAAATATCACCCATTAATTTTCACATGACATATAAGTTCTCAACGTCTCGTCCCTAGGTTGAGTACTACGCGTACAGGGGCAGATATATTCATATAAATGTTCGTCGGAGCACCACTTAAATACATGTAAATTTTCCATACACGTTATCATATTAAAGCGCAAAGCAGAGATTTTGATCTAAATATAGGAAACCGAACTATATATAACTACGAAAATACAGAACTTAATCCACCTTATCGGTATAGTTGATAGTATATCATTATTAGCGATAAATGGAGAGGGCAGCAGATTACATCTTGTACGGGTACTGATATAATATAACCTGTCAGCACCGACCCGAACTCATCAAACCTGTCGACACCGACCCGTACTAAATGTGACCTGCCGAAACCAACCCGTCCTGATATAACCTGCCAAAACTGACTCGTCCTGATAGAACGTGCCGACACCAACCCGTCCTGATATAACCTGCCAAAACTGACTCGTCCTGATTTATGCGACCTGTCGACACCGACCCGTCCTGATATGACCGGCCAACACCGACCCTTGTTGATATAACCTGTCGACACCGACACATGCTGATAAGACCTTTCGACACAGACCCGTCCTGATTATATATTTAATTATATATGATGTGACTAATATCAACTGCATGCATCATGTGTCCAATGTTTAACATTTTTAATGTGACCCTGGTTTACATGTATCGTGTAACCCCTATCCAAAACATACATCATGTGACCATTTCTGTTATATATCACGTGACGTTGATTCAGGACATTGTTTCTCTCGTGAGAAATACATGAATTGACGTATAATGTATATCTGTATCTGACTGATACCATACAAATACACCTCCGTATTGACCGAAGATATCACCATTTTATCTGATAAACTTATAAACTTATACATGTATGTGCTCGATTTGCAATTTTGTGCTGCAACAGTACCCACGACATTCAATGTTTTACAATACAGTGATCGAATGGAACGTTTACAGTTATATACCCCTCCCCGTGACGTCACAAATGGGTGATAGAACGTGTGATGAACCCAGCTTTCGCATGTGATCAAAAATCACTATACGACCACATGATCACAGGACTTCACTCTGTATATGTCATCGATTCCATATGCTCATTTCTCCCAAATTATCTTAATCTAACTGGGCTTTCGATTGTCAAGTATCATCTAATGAAATAAAATCAAACACAATGGAAAGATATAATGGTTGGTGAACGATATTAAATGACTCTTATATAATATGTATAGACTATGAAACCAGACTGTATAGATGTATAGGACAGTATTGGTGTACTGTAATTTACATTATAGATGTATAGGACAGTATTGGTGTACTGCAATTTACATTATAGATGTATAGGACAGTATTGGTGTACTGTAATTTACATTATATTGGTGTACTGTAATTTACATTATAGATGTATTGGACAGTATTGGTGTACTGTAATTTAAATTATAGATGTACACTATATGGTGTACAATACATACATAGTATAAGCGTACTGTGTAGAAGTTATTCTGCTGATATAAGGGTATTTAATGTACTTACCGGATGAAGATACGGTTGTTAAAACCAGCGATGTTATTATAACGTAATATCTCAACAATTACGAAGGACAATGACGGATTATACACAGCTCCCTGTATCAGTCCTGTAGTGAGTTTGATCCTAGATGTAACTCCTTTACACGAGTTCCAATGTCATTTTATCACGACAGGGGGAGCTGTTATATCCACGTTCCTCGATTTGTACTGGTTGTCAACTTAAAAAAAATCAGGCTACATCGTCATAAAAAGTATTACGAAGTGCATGTCGGTCGACACTTGTTCTAGTATAAAGATCCCGGCGTTAACACGTGGAGAGCATATCGGTCGGTCAGTGGTACACTTGTACGACCTTGACTGATACTATATTCCAGTAGCGTTATCTGTCGTCGGAAAATTAAGTGCAGACACCATACAAAAAGTAAGTCGGGTGGACAAGTGCTTTACATCTGATGTTCCCCATTATCTACACACATATATGTATACAATATACATTTCGAAACAAAATCAACACTCATTCTATCCTTTATTAATTAGCAAATTCGTGATTCATACCATCCTCGAACAACTTTGCAGTATCACACTGCATATATATCGTAAAAGCGACTAATGTGGGGCCCCTGCAGAATCGGGGGGTTCTTCGGTGTCTTCTACGAAGGGGACATGTAAGGGGACATGTAACATGTAACGGGGGACATGTAAGGGGACATGTAACGGGGGACATGTAAGGGGACATGTAACATGTAACGGGGGACATGTAACATGTAACGGGGACATGTAACATGTAACGGGGAACATGTAAGGGGACATGTAAGGGGATATGTAAGGGGATATGTAACGGGGGACATGTAAGGGGACATGTAAGGGGATATGTAACGGGGGACATGTAAGGGGACATGTAACATGTAAGGGGATATGTAACATGTAACGGGGGACATGTAAGGGGACATGTAACATGTAAGGGGATATGTAACGAGGGACATGTAAGGGGATATGTAACGAGGGACATGTAAGGGGATATGAAACGAGGGACATGTAAGGGGATATGTAACGAGGGACATGTAAGGGGATATGTAACGAGGGACATGTAAGGGGATATGTAACGGGGGACATGTAAGGGGACATGTAACGGGGAACATGTAACATGTAACGGGGAACATGTAACGAGGGACATGTAAGGGGACATGTAAGGGGACATGTAACGGGGAACATGTAACATGTAACGGGGAACATGTAACGAGGGACATGTACGGGGACATGTAAGGGGATATGTAACGGGGGACATGTAAGGGGATATGTAACGGGGGACATGTAACATGTAACGGGGGACATGTAGGGTACATGTAAGGGGATATGTAACGGGGGACATGTAAGGGGATATGTAACGGGGGACATGTAGGGGACATCTAAGAGAAACATGTAACGGGGGACATGTAAGGGGATATGTAACGGGGGACATGTCCCTCGTTACATGTGATATGTCCCCCTTTACATGTCCCCCCTCACATATCCCCCTACATGTCCCCCCTTACATCTCCCCTTACATGTCCCCCGTTACATGTAAGGGGATATGTAACGGGGGACATGTAACGGGGGACATATAACATGTAACGAGGGACATGTACGGGGACATGTAAGGGGATATGTAACGGGAGACAAGTAGGGGACATGCAAGAGGAACATGTAACGGGGGACATGTAACATGTAAGGGAAACATGTAACGGGGGACATGTAACGGGGGACATGTAACATGTAAGGGGAACATGTAACGGGGGACATGTAACGGGGACATGTAAGGGGACATGTAAGGGGACATGTAAGGGGATATGTAACGGGGGACATGTAAGGGGATATGTAACGGGAGACATGTAGGGGACATGTAAGAGGAACATGTAACGGGGGAAATGTAACATGTAAGGGAAACATGTAACGGGAAACATGTAACGGGGGACATGTTAGGGGACATGTAAGGGGATATGTAACGGGGGACATGTAAGGGGACATGGGGGACGTGTAACATGTAAGGGAAACATGTAACGGGGGACATGTAAGGGGACATGTAACGGGGGACATGTAACGGGGACATGTAAGGGGACATGTAAGCGGATATGTAACGGGGGACATATAAGGTGACATGTAACGGGGGACATGTAAGGGGACATGTAACGGGGGACATGTAACATGTAAGGGGAACATGTAACGGGGGACATGTAACGGGGACATGTAAGGGGACATGTAAGCGGATATGTAACGGGGGACATATAAGGTGACATGTAACGGGGGACATGTAAGGGGACATGTAACGGGGGACATGTAACATGTAAGGGGAACATGTAACGGGGGACATGTAACGGGGACATGTAAGGGGACATGTAAGCGGATATGTAACGGGGGACATATAAGGTGACATGTAACGGGGGACATGTAAGGGGACATGTAACGGGGGACATGTAACATGTAAGGGGAACATGTAACGGGGGACATGTAACGGGGACATGTAAGGGGACATGTAAGCGGATATGTAACGGGGGACATATAAGGTGACATGTAACGGGGGACATGTAAGGGGACATGTAACGGGGGACATGTAACATGTAAGGGGAACATGTAACGGGGGACATGTAACGGGGGACATGTAACGGGGACATGTAAGGGGACATGTAAGGGGACATGTAACGGGGGACGTGTAACATGTAAGGGAAACATGTAACGGGGGACATGTAACGGGGGACATGTAAGCGGATATGTGACGGGAGACATGTACGGGACATGTAACGAGGGACATGTAACGGGGGACATGTACGGGAACATGTAACGAGGGACATGTACAGGGACATGTAAGGGGATATGTGACGGGAGACATGTAGGGGACATGTAAGAGGAACATGTAACGGGGGACATTTAACGGGGGACATGTAACATGTAAGGGAAACATGGAACGGGGGACATGTAACGGGGGACATGTAAGGGGACATGTACGGGGACATGTAACGGGGGACATTTAACATGTAACAGGGGACATGTAACATGTCACGGGGGACATGTAAGGGGATATGTAACGGGGGACATGTAACGGGGGACATGTAAGGGGACATGTAAGTGGATATGTAACGGGGATATGTAACGGGGGACATGTAAGGGGACATGTAAGGGGACATGTAACGGGGGACATTTAACATGTAACAGGGGACATGTAACATGTCACGGGGGACATGTAAGGGGATATGTAACGGGGGACATGTAACGGGGGACATGTAACATGTAAGGGGACATGTAACGGGGACATGTAAGGGGACATGTAAGCGGATATGTTACGGGGGACATATAAGGGGACATGTAAAGGGACATGTAACGGGGGACATGTAATATGTAACGGGGGACATTTAAGGGACATGTAACGGGGACATGTAACGGGGGACATATAAGGGGATATGTAAGGGGGGACATGTAACGGGGGACATATAAGGGGACATGTAACGGGGGACATGTAACGGGTGACATGTAAGGGGATATGTAACGGGGGACATGTAAGGGGACATGTAACGGGGAACATGTAACGGGGGACATGTAACATGTAACGAGGGACATGTAAGGGGATATGTAACGGGGGACATGTAACATGTAACGGTGAACATGTAACGGGGGACATGTAAGGGGACATGTAAGGGGACATGTAACATGTTACGGGGAACATGTAACGGGGGACATGTAACGGGGGACATGTAACATGTAACGGGGTACATGTAACGAGGGACGTGTACGGGGACATGTAAGGGGATATGTAACGGGGGACATGTAAGGGGAACATGTAAGGGGATATGTAACGGGGGACATGTAACATGTTACGGGGAACATGTAACGAGGGACATGTAAGGGGACATGTAAGGGGACATGTAACGGGGGACATGTAACATGTTACGGGGAACATGTAACGAGGGACATGTAAGGGGATATGTAACGGGACATGTAACAGGGGATATGTAACGGGGGCCTGTAACGGGGGACATGTAACATGTAAGGAGACATGTAACGGGGACATGTAAGGGGACATGTAAGCGGATATGTAACGGGGGACATATAAGGGGACATGTAACGGGGACATGTAACATGTAACGGGAGACATGTAAGGGACATGTAACGGGGACATGTAACAGGGGACATGTAAGGGGATATGTAACGGGGGACATGTAAGGGGACATGTAACGGGGGACATGTAAGGGGATATGTAAGGGGGGACATGTAACGGGGACATGTAAGGGGATATGTAACGGGGGACATGTAACGGGGGACATGTAACATGTAACGAGGGACATGTAAGGGGACATGTAACGGGGGACATGTAAGGGGACATGCAACGGGGGACATGTAACGGGGGACATGTAACATGTAACGAGGGACATGTAAGGGGATATGTAACGGGGGACATGTCACATGTAACGGGGAACATGTAACGGGGGACATGTAAGGGGAATGTAAGGGGACATGTAACGGGGGACATTTAAGGGGATATGTAACGGTGGACATGTAAGGGGACATGTAACGGGGGACATGTAACATGTAACGGGGAACATGTAACGAGGGACATATACGGGGACATGTAAGGGGATATGTAACGGGGGACATATAACATGTAACGGGGAACATGTAACGAGGGACATGTAAGGGGACATGTAAGGGGACATGTAACGGGGGACATGTAACTGGGGACATGTAACATGTAACGGGGACATGTAAGGGGACATGTAAGGGGATATGTAACGGGGGACATGTAAGGGGATATGTAACGGGGGACATGAAGGGGACATGTAAGGGGATATGTAACGGGGGACATGTAAGGGGACATGTAACGGGGGACATGTAACATATAACGGGGACATGTAAGGGGACATGTAAGGGGACATGTAAGGGGATATGTAACGGGGGACATGTAGGGGATATGTAACGGGGATATGTAACGGGGGACATGTAAGGGGACATGTAAGGGGGACATGTAAGGGGACATGTACCGAGGGACATTTAAGGGGATATGTAACGGGGGACATGTAGGGGACATGTAAGGGGATATGTTAAGGGGGACATGTAAGGGGGACATGTAAGGGGACATGTAAGGGGACATGTAGGGGACATGTAAGGGGACATGTAACGGGGGACATGTAAGGGGGCATGTAAGGGGATATGTAATGGAGGACATGTAAGAGACAAAAATTGATCTGCTGCCCCCATTGCAACACAAATCTTATCTATCATCTTTCTGTTT